TGTTAGTTTTGTGATGCATCACAGCTCAGAAAAAAGAAAAAAAGTAAGTGATCTGAGCAAGTTTGTTGTTCTGGGCTGAAGAGAGAAAGAGAAGGAGAAAGAAGCAAAGACATGAGGAGGCGGAAAGGGAGGGGAGGGAGGGGGGATAGGAAGTACTCTGTGGGCGATGGAGTCGGACCCCCCCTCCCTCCTTAGCAGTGACTGACGTCAGAATGTGTTAGGCGCGTGGGCTGAAGGGCGGGATGGATGGGGCGTGGGGGCGATGGAGTGGGAGGTAATTGGAGGGGCGTTGCATTGACTCACCAAGCGACAGTGAGCAAAAATAAAACCTGTGGGCAGGGAAATGGCACAGTGTTTTTCATACATCCTCTCCCTCCACCAAAAGGACTACGGAAATACAAAAAAAAAAAGAAGACATATGTTTCATCTCTGGCGTCAGTCTCTCAGTTTGTCCTTTTTTATCCACCTTACCAAATTTCCCCCCACTCATTAATTTGAACTTTCTCTCGCATCTTTATCACCACGTCCTGTTTTAGTTTGTCTTCGTTTTCTGTTATATTATCATTTATGAACATTATTAAATATAAATTTCATTTTATTTATATTTTCTGATAACTCTTTTTTTTTTAAGCATAATGTTTATATTCCTAACCTTTACAAATTAACACGCAGGATGACAAAAGGGTCAACTTAAATAATTAGCTACTTTTTTTTTTTTTGGCTCATACACAAAATAAACATGAAACATTAAAAGAAATGATGAAAATTGTGCTTTTCTGAGAGTTTTGCAGTCTGAGGATGCGATTCACTTCTTCCCATACAAAATATGATCAATACCAACTTTTGTTCAGCGTGTTTTCTGTCGTGTCCACATGATGTTTCAGCTTCATCACTGTTTGATCAGCCAAGAAGTCCTTCAATGCTACAGCGCTGGGGACATTTTGTCTTTCAGCAGCTTGGGTTGGTCACATAAACCATGATGATGTCACCTCGTGTGGGAAAGTTTCCTGTGGGGAAAAAAATCTTTCACTATCAAATCATAACATATACACCGTGTTGTATCGTATTGTATCATTTTGAAGCATATCATGTTGTATCATATGTCACATTTAATGATATTGTTCCATATAATATAAATTATCATATTGTAATATACCATATGACATTACATCAGTCAAGTAGTATGTAGTATCATGTATTTGTATTGTATCATACATAATACGACATTGCAACATGTTATACATATAATAGATTAAACCACATCATATAACGTATCATATACTGTATCGTATTGTATCTTACAGTGCCTTGCAAAAATATTCACCCCCTTGGCATTTTCCGTGTTTTGCTACCTCACAACCTACAACTAAAATGGATTATTTGAGGGTTTGCATCATTTCTATTACAGAACATGCTTACAACTTTGAACGTTTGGTTTACTTCTTACTGTGAAGCAAACAACAAATAGGACAAAATAACAGAAAACTTCAGTGTGCATAACTATTCGCTCCCCTAAAGTCAGTACTGTGTAGCGCCACCTTTCAGCTGCGTCACTTTGGATAAGTCACATCTCGCCACTGGGATTTTTGCCCATTCCACAAGTCAGAACTGCTCCAGCTCCTTCAAGTTAGATGGTTCCCGCTGGTGAACAGCAGTCTTCAAGTCTGACCACAGATGCTCAGTTGGATTAAGGTCTGGGATTTGACTAGGCTGTTCCAGTACATTTACACGTTTGACCTTAAACCAGTTGAGTGTTGTTTTAGCTGCATGCTTGGGGTCATTGTCCTGTTGGAAGAGGACCCTCTGTCCCAGTCTCAAATCACCGTCTGAAACAGGTTATGCTCAAGAATATCCCTGTATTCAGCATCATCCATGTTCCCCTTGACTTGGACCAGTTTCCCAGTCCCTGCTGTTGACAAACATCCCCACGGCATGAAGCTGCCATCACCATGTTTCACTGTGGGGATGGTGTTCTTTGGGTGATGAGATGTGTTGGTTTTGCACCAGACAACATTTTCCTTGGTGACTGAAAAGTTCACTGTTGGTCTCATCTGATCAGAGCACCTTCCTCCATACGTTTGGGGAATCTCCCACATGCCTTTTGGAAAACTCAAAACAAACCTTCCTGTTTTGTCTGTAAGTAAAGACTATTTTCTGGCTACTCTTCCATAAAACCAGCTCTATGGAGTGTATGGCTTCTTGTGGTCGTACGGGCAGATACTCCAGCCTCTGCTTGGGAACTCTACAGCTCCTTCAGGGTTACCTTAGGTCTCTGTGCTGCTTCTCGGATTAATGCCCTCCTTGCCACGTCTGAGAGTTCTGGTGGGCGGCCTTCTTTTGGCAGGTTTGTTGTACCATGTTCTTTCCATTTAATGATAATAATTTGATGGTGCTCCCAGGGATCATCAGAGATTTGGACTTGTTTTTAACCCAACCCTAACTTGTATTTCTGAACAACTTTGTCCCTGATTCGTTTGGAGATCTTGGTCTTCACGGTTTGGTTAGTGATGCCTCTTTCTTAATAGTGTTGCAGCCTCTGGGGCCTTTTAGAAAGGGTGTGTATACATACTGACAGATCATATGACATTTAGATTGCACACTGGTGGACTTCTTTTCACCAAGCATGTGACTTCTGAAGGTAATTGGTTGCACCAGAACTTTTAGGGTCTTTTTAGCAAAGGGGGTGAAAACGTGCACATGCCAATTTTCAGTTTTTTATTTCCAACATTTTTAATATAAATTTATAAAAATATATTTATTTTCTTTCTCATTTCAGTTCACCAAGTTAGACTATTTTGTGCAGATGCATCACATACAATTCAGATTAAAACAACATTTTAAATACAGGTTGTAATGTAACAAAATTGGTAGAAAGCCAAGCGGGGAGAATATTTTTGCAAGGCACTGTATCACGTCATATCATCATGTTGTATTATATACATTTTATTATATGTCACATCATATTGATTCATATTTGATTTACAGCACTTGTATCAAACTCAAAGCCCATGGGCCAAAATCTTGTCCTTGCAAACATTTTATCTGCCCCGCCCCAAGATATTTTAAATGCTAAATATTTTTATCTCCTCATTTTGCTTAAAAAAATTATACTGTAAATACTTTATTTAGTGCAGACTTATCTGACCAGCTGGCTTTCGTTTTAAGAAGTTGTTTTTTTCAGTGATCTGTGATTCTGATGTGAAAAAGCAACAGAAAATGTCACATGAGACTGATCAAACTCTTGTTGAGGAACCTGAATGCAAAAAAAGATGTCACGTAACTGAGTTGAGTTCATGTATTGAATGAAATCACCCTGTGGCCTGGAACAAGATTTGTTTTTGCCCCCTTTTGTAAATGAGTATGACACCCCTGATTTATACCATCACAGTTATTAAATTGTTTATTTTACATTATAAAATATTCTATAATATATAATATCATACTGTATATCATATCACATATTATTTCATATGTTAGCAGCACCTTAATAAAACGCCGGCCTGTAATGCTCATACTATTCAATGTTTCCATTAGGTAATGTTATTAAACAGATGTTTATATAATTGGATTCATGGTAGCATGGTTTCTGCTTTTTGGCATCGGTGGGTTTCTATGTTATCAGCTTTTGAGGAAAACATCGGCAGTCTGTGTGAAGGTTTGGTTCATGCTACGAGGACTCAAAATCAGCTGATTTACGAGCTAAACCGTAAAACGGAAGCGATTTGTCGCAGGCACATGCAGCTCCTACGACTCGCCAGCATGTTGGAGATGACCTTGGATGAGGCTCATAGCACGGATCAGTGGAATGTCCACAAATCTGGCCATTTTGGATCTTGAAAGTACCAACAGAGCTCAAGGCTGACAAGAAAAAGTAGTCTGCCTGAAGAAAATCAACAATCTAACTCCCCTGTCTGGCCTCAAAAGGAGGCCGACTATCAAATTTCTCCTGGGACATAGAAAAACCTTGGTCTATCGCACCCCCCAAGAATTTCTGTGCAGGCTTATCAGAACTGCCGGCTGACCAACATCTTATCAGGACTATGACCGGTCTGGAAATGCTTCATGGGCAAATCTCATCGCCTTGACGTCAAATGCATATGTTTATAAATGTGCTTGCTGGTAGAGTTTTTTGATGTCTTAAATCATGTCCTGATAGGACAAGATGTGAAGAGATCTTTTTTGTAATGCCACTATCCATCCTCATGACCTTTTACCTTTTTCTATCTAAAACGTATTCTGATAAAGAATAAGCTCTGGTAGCATCAGCAACGTGCACTCCGCCCATCTTGTGGATGACTGTACGAATATAATCTCACTATCTCGATACAAAAGCTTACTCTGATTCTGATTCACTGTTTTCTTAATCAGTATTTCTCACGTGACTTCTAAATTGATTTATTTTTAATAAATCCTCCATCTCTCCACAGATCATGACAGTAAAGGGGAGCGTCTGAGCTTGATAACAACCTGCAGGAGCAGTAGCCCTTGTATCACCAAAGATCAAATCATCAACTCCAACCACCGCGGGAAATGAGACCCTCTGTGTTTACCAGGGACTTTGAGCTTGAGCCCATGAACTTCTAAGAGTCATTTAAACAAGTCACAGGTACTTCTGATGGAGAAAGGATTCCTCTTTTCAACTAAATCAAATCTACATTTGAGAACTTACCAGCAACTGGTTGTAGAAATGGACTCCCAAACCCATCAATTGTGAATAGATCCAAATAATCTGTTTTTTATACTTGGTAGCTAAAAGATCTTTCAGTTTTAGCTTTTGAGTGCACGGATAGTGTTCCTGCAAGGATCAGCTGTCAAAAGAAAACAAAACATTGAATCTGTCAGGGAAGATGTTAGATGATAGCTGTTTGTTTGAAATTTCAGCTTCGGCAGGTGAAACAGGCATCGGCAGCAGCAGGGGGCACTACAACTTTGGAAACAGGCTCCAAAGTTCCTCCAGTGGTTTCAGAGGAAACCACATCTTTTGGTGGAGACATCTCTTTAAAGCATGTGTCAGCATATTGTTCTGAAGCTCTGCACCTCGGGAAATCAAGAGGTAAGGCCTAACTAGCTCAGATGTCAATAATATCTGCGTTTGAGCTAAAAACTAACATTTTTAGAAAAGGTTGCTGTAGCATCAGGTCCAAGTGTCTCCATCATCTCTGCACAGCTGGCTGATTTGATGGTTTTTAAAGGTACACATCCAGCTTTTAAATCAAAGACATTGTTTAATCCCTATTTTGTTAACATGTCTTCATTCTCTAAGACGAAACACGATGATCTTTGTGTAATTTCTGCTTTTTAAAGCTATTCTCTTTTCGTTTGAGACAGATTATGGTAAATTAGCGATACACCTGCACAAGTTTACAGAAAGAGTCCTTTGGAGGTTCATTTTTGACACATTTAATCAAACTTTCATGCCCTGCGCAATAAATGTTAAAATGTTTTCAGTCAGTTCTTGTTCATAGACAGAAATGTGACAAATATTCATTAATGACAGAACGTGCGTGAGCTTGCTGTGCATCACTTTCACCTGCCTGTAACTTCCTCAGTTTGTTACGTTGCAAAACAGATTATTTATTTTGTTATATCTTAATAAATGTTACTTTGCAGATTTAAATCCTTGTTGTGTTTTATTCCTCGAAGGATGATTTTATCATCTTGGTGACTCTGATGTGTGGAAGAGGCAGCAGGAGCTGCGTCACACAACCAGCAGCAGTCCTGCTGTCATCTTGTTGGTTGCACTGATGCTCTGAGTCTGCTATGACTCATCATCAGTACCGGTGATGTCATCAGCGCTCGTCCACACAGACGTCGAGAGAGAAGAAACAAAACAAACATTTGATAAGCTAAAAACAAGGCTGTTTTTAGTTATATAAATATATATATATATATATATATATATATATATATATATATATATATATTTTAGTGTTGCAGCTTATCATAAACGTGCAAGGCTTTCAAAAAGTCATAAAGATGGAACCACAGCATTGTGCAAAAGTTTTAAACGTCCTCTCTTTTTTTTTACTTTCCCTCCAAGGACCGAGACTTTCCTGTAATCTTTTAAAATGGTCTTGATCGAATGTTATCTTGGTAACCTGAGAGTTTTTCAAAGTTCATTTGGCTGACTTTTCAATCACTTTCCATCCAGTCATTTCTCCAGAACAGCTAAAAAAATGCTAAAAAAAAAAAGGTGCTCAAAATTTTTTTTTAAAATCAACAGAGGACAAAAAAGAAAATGTCAGGCATAAAAAAACAACTATCCACAGCAGATAAATGGTCTCTGAAAGTCATGTCAAAGACCTGAAGTAGGACCTGAGACTACTTTAACCTTCAGCTGATCATATTCATATGACTAGTTTTCACATAAAAACTTAGGAACTCACCTTGATAAAGTATTTTTGTTGATTAAAATGTAATATATTTAGTATTTTTCATAGATTCAACAAGAAAATTGAAACAAATTGTGTCTTTGTGACTTATAAGCTAGCTACCTGGTAAAAACACAAATTAAAAATCTTCAACTTGACTTTAAGAGCCTTTTTTTATACCTGGTGAGTCACAGATCTGTTATACTGAAACATATTGCTGTCAAGGAAAAATATATATTTTGACCTTTGTACAGTATAATTATCAAGTTATAATGTGTTCAAATATTAATTTTTTCTTGACAGCAATATTTATTTCTTTATTTATTTAGACATTTATTCATTTCATTAAAAACAGAATAACTATATACAATAGAAAAAAAAAAAAAATAATAATATATATATATATACAATCAAAAAATAAAATGAAAAGCAGTAGAAGAAGAAGAAGTCTTATCACATCTGCCCTTTTTTTCCCCCAGAATATATTCAAACAATAGTAATTTACAAAAAAAAACAAAGCTAAATAAAAACAACATCAACTCAAACAACAATTTGTATAGATACACGTTATGCTTTTCCATATTCCTTCAGAAAACTAACTTGTAACATTTTCTTGAATATGTACGTAGATCTGGCAGGTTTAACATCATCCTTCAGACCATTCCACAATCCTATTCCCTGAATTATAGTAGACCACTCTTTCAAACTGGTATGAAACCACAGCTTCACAAACATCTTTATCCCCTTAAGATAATAATCACTCTCCCTTTTAACAAAATTTACTTGGATATTAGAATGTAATATGTTTTTGTGAGCCTATACATAAACAGTAAAATATTATAATCAACCAAGTCATAGAATTTCAGTATCTTCAGTTGATAAAACAATGTATTTGATGGATAGTTATAATCTTTTCTAGTGATAATTCTTACAGCTCTTTTCTGTAAAATAAAAATAGGATTTATAATTGTTTTACATGCTTTCCCCAGACTTCAATACAGTAAATTAAGTGTGGGACAATTATTGCATTATACAACATAAACAGTGCTTTATCATTGAGTAGCTCCCTTACTTTGTACAGTACTGCAATAGATGTAGCTATTTTTGTTCTTAAATTATTTAAGTGAGGTTTCCATGTCAACTTTTCATCAATGATGACACCCAGAAACTTCACCTCACTGACTCTACAAATCTCAACACCATCGACTCTAAATGGAGCATCAACAGTTCTCTTACTGTTACTGAATATCATGTAGTCTGTTTTAGCCAAATTTAATTATAATTTGTTAAGTTGAAACCAATTTTGTATTTTCACAAATTCTGTCTGTACCATCTCCAACATTCGTGCTATATCTTTACCCGAACAAAGAAATGTGGTATCATCTGCAAATAAAACACCTCTAAAAAGTCCTGACACATTAACCAGGTCATTTATATATAAAATAAATAACTTAGGTCCAAGTACAGAACCTTGAGGCACTCCACATGTGATGTTACAAAGTTCAGATCTTACATCATTTATTTGAACAAACTGTCCTTTCTTCTAAATAACTAGATACCCACTGTAATGCTAGCCCTCTAATACAATATTTATTTGGCTTTTCAAGGAGAATACTGTGGTAAGTAGTATCAAACACTTTCTTTAAATCAACATAAATACTAACACAATACTTTTCATACACTTCCTAGTTACCTCAGCAAAGCCAAGTAAAAAAAAAAAGAGCTTTTGATAACATTTCGGAAGCCTAAAATGCACAGGTCCAATTTAAAACATTAAAAAAGATATATAGAAACAATAATTATTCAGGACTTTTTGTACGACGCTGCACTTCGTAAAACTGTCTTGCCTGAAAAAAAAAGTTTTATTCCCAATAAAATGCAGTGATTTTCATACTTCCAAAGCTGCACACTGCCACCTGCTTCAGCTGTGCTTGTGTTTACTGATCATCCTGTGTTACTGATGATAATGATAATTATGTAAAAAAAAAAAAAAAAAACATTTTTAGATGTGGACTGTACAACAGCCATTATATTCTCGTTAGTGTTCTTCAGAGAGCAACAGTCAATGAGGCAACGAAGAGGAGCTCTTGTCATCAATCAGCCATCAGCACCACTATTTACAGCCAAAGCTGTATCTTTATTTTTAGCACCAGTTATTCCCTCAGTAACAGTGTCCGACAGCGGACAGCTGATCTGATGACAAACAGCAGAAGGACCATTGAGGATCCAGAAAGTTGGAAGTCAAATAGTCAAAATCTTTTAAATCTCTGGGATTGTCCAGGTTTTAAATTCTCCACCAGCAAGAGTCAAAACTTCACACTTATGTTCATGGAGAGATTTCTCAAAAGCAAGTTTTTGTTTGTATGTGCAAACTGAACACATTCAGTTTCAGGAGATTTTTATTTTCTATGTTTGATTAAACAACGGAGCTGACTAACATAATTGGACCCTGTCACATTGGAGCTGTCTCAGCCTGAAAAGATGTCATTCAGTGAGCTGTTCTTCAGATTTGAAGCCAAATCTGATGTCAAGGCTGGAGCTCAGAGTATAATCATCCAGCCTCATCACCTTCAATCAACCTGTAACTCCACATCACGCTGCCTTCGTTGTGACTGACTGATGGGAAGTCAGAAACAGGAACAATAACACTCCTTTAATTTATTTAGTTACTGTTGTTTTTAGACAATTTTGTTCTTAACAATGAAAATGTGAATGAACTATTATTACTGTCTTTTCTTCAAAGTTTTATTACAGCAAGAGTTACCACCAAATATATAGTTTGTTGTATATCTATATGTGTATGTATATACTGTATGTGTATATATATATATATATATATATATATATATATATATATATATGTGTGTGTGTGTGTGTGTAATTATATATGTATTAATTTTTTTCTCATCTACTCTGTGTGTTGTATCTAACAGGTATCTCTTGTAAATGAGTCCCTGAGGCTCAATGGGAACTAACCAGTGATGTAGTCTATGTGCTATTCGGGTATATGGAGTACTAGAAAAGCTTGGGAATTTCAGAATACCCACTTAAAAGTGCCCAATGACACATGGGCTTCCGTCCTTGTCAACACATATGGAACATTTTATAGACACAGTGAGTTGGTTCAACAGTTTTTTTTGTATAATTAATACTTCTGTACTTA